TTTGTTTAGAAAAACGAGTAAAATACTTACTGTCGCTAACACTGCTTTTGGAGGCAACCATGTTGTGTACGCCCTCAACATCAAAATATGTTCAAAGCTTGAGTTCTCAATGTCAAAACTAGCGGATTTCATTCCTTCAGCTAAGCGTTTCCTGACCAAGCTATGCTGCACGGTGTCAAAGCTGTGATTTTCATTAAAAAGCTACACTTTCATTGGTACCCCTGAGATGGGTCATACCATTACCAATCTCAGTGGAAACTGTAGAGGGGTGTCAGGGCTACATTTTGATGGGAATTATAGTGGTGATATGAAACAAACCCAGATATGAAACAAAGACCTGAATTAACAAAGAAATCAAGTTGTTATTAAAGGTACATCAAGGTTTACTCAGATTTATGAATGCAGTTTCTTGAGCATGTATAAGACACAGTTGGTTGCACTTGTGTAATCTGAGATTTTGGACCAGACTCAATGAAAGTTTTCAGTTCAGATAAAGGGAAATCATGATGAGTTGTACCCACAGAGAGTACATATTAATTCAGTTGTTCGCAGATGTTCCACGTATTACATTGTATTTTAATATGAGTATTTTATATTATAATAACTGGCACTGTGACATTCATGTCTTGGTTTTATTTCATCTGGGTTTTGTGAATAACAGCATAAAAATAAACCATGTAGTAAAATTCAGTGAAATCTACTTACTTGATTTACAATATTAAATCTGAGTCTGAGGATACTTTGAGTGAAATGTCATATAATGGATGTGTAATAGACTTTTAACACATGTCCAAGACCCTGAAAAACTCATATGCAACATATCTCACAAAATGCATGAAAATAATAATATTATTTGATGGATAAATTATAAAAATTAATTTCAAATTAATAATAATATTAACTTTATTCATTTTTAAAAGAACATAGTAAAATGCTATTCTATAAAACAAAAATAATGATTTAAAAAAGAAATAACATTACAGAAAGATTGAAATAACCTTATTCTTGCTTCTTTATGTTGTGGACAGTCGATCATGAACGACATGAACTTTTCAACCGTTGTTTTTGATGTTGTCTGCTACCTTAATATATATGTTGCATCATGTTTATGAAAACTATTATAAAACAGCTTAGTGTAATGTTGACAGTAAACATGACACTATTTGTGTCAAAATGCAAGTAAAGTAAAATGTCATATTTATATTTGTTGATTTTCAAACAATTACAAGTCTATGCCATAATAGTACCTGATCTAGTCATTTTTGAACATTGATACAAAATGTTTAGTAGTGTACACATGTAATTATTCACTGTATGCCTTGAATAATTAGTACTGTTTTCCAACCATCACCATGCAGAGTGACATGTTTGCCCATGTTCCAGGTTTTCATCTCTCCTCCTGGGTTTTGACATCAAAGCCAATAATAGCAGTAACTTCCCATCAAAAAATGGGACTTCAATTTTGTGAAAATAGATAGTTTAAATATTTGTCGTAGTCGTACAAATTAAAGTAATTAATTAGACATTGTTTTATTACAAACTTAATGAAAAAAATTATCAAATTAGGGTATAAAATTATTTCATGTGACACAAAGCAGAACATTTTAAGTCGTTTGGTGCATCTGAACGCAATACTATTCGACTATTTGCAACAATAACACAATCATATTTTTATATTTTTATATTTGTACCAATATTGCTGTGTGCTATTTTCACAAGTCGTTAACATTTACACATGTTCATGTAATCACCAAAACAATCCAGACCATGTATTATTTCCTTTGTTATTGAAATATTATAAAACTGTTTTATGATGGTCACTGACATGTAATTTCACTTTATTGATGTTTTGAGCATATTCACTGGGTTTTACATTGCCAAGGAAACAAAGAGTTTGATTGTTATTTTAATTGTTCACATGGATATAATTTGGTTTATTATACAAAAATAGCAAATTTAAAACCCAGAGAATAATTAATGAATTTATAGTAATCATTATCATTTGTTATTCTTCATAATAGAAACTACCTTTCACAATACCAGAACTGGTATCTGCTGCACCCTGTAAGAGTACAGATGGCCTTCTCTATACTGGTAAGTTGATCACAAACTAAAATCCGTATGACCAGCTGTCTGTCATTAGAACAGGTTGATATGTCCTTGAATGTCTCTCTGACATATGTCGGGACAAATTTCAATCAAACTTGGTATGAAGATTACGTATGATGGAATCATCAATGCACTTTTGTTTTATTATTAATAATTTTAAAATGCTTTAAATAGGGCTACATCAGTTTAATTATTTCATAGCTCCGCTATCGACTTTGTCAAGCAGAGCTTATCATATGAGTCGTCGCCGTCCATCGTGTAGACCTCTCTTAGATTTGTTCATTTCATAATGATATCTTCAATTCTCTAATTTTGGTGGATATTTTTGTCATTTTGGTAAAAGTGATATTTTCGACTTCTTGTTAAAAACCGTAAGTCTGATTGCTTCGCTATTATATATATAGGTACTA